CGGGGGCTGCGGGAACCCGGCTGGGGAGTTCCCGGTGAAAGGGTTGGCGGGTGGTGTTTTATTTTCCCCGGTTCCGCTGGAATTTGGGAGGGAAAGGCCCGGCGGGGAGCGCGCTTGCCTGCTGCCGAGCCCAGGCTGAGCCGCAGCGTGGTGCTGCGCGGAGGGACCCTCAGGGATGGGGAGAAGAGATGGGAAAGCTGCATCCCCCACCTCCCGGGGGGCACAGTGTGGACAGGGGGGAGGTTGTCCTGGGATGGGTGTTGGTGGTCCCTCACGGGCGGCCTTGGCATCACCTGGCTTTGCCCAGGCGGTTCGGCGCCGGGTCTCCCTCAGCCCGCGAGGAGGAGGATGGCGGGGAAGGTTCAGCCCAGCCACCCCTCGCTTTTCACTCCCCTTATTGCTCTCCCGGCGCTCTGCGAGGCACGGGGCGCGCAGGGATGGACCCCGGGACTCTCCCGCTCCCGGCATCCCCACGGGACAGGGATATCCACAGCCCCAAATGGGGACACGTCTCCCTGCAGGTTGATTTGAAACGAGCAGATCTGACCCTGTAAGGCACCAAGCGAAGGTTGGACCCGTTCGGCACGCGGTGGTGGCATGGGCGAAGGGTGCTCGTGTCCCCCCCGGCACGTCGGCTGCTTTGTCACCGCTCCCGGCCACGGCTTCGGTAGGAGAACGCCGGTGGCTGTGCATCTCCCACCGCTTTTTGGCCGTGTTTGCCCACCCCGTGGTGGGGGTGAGACGGGAGCCTGGGGCACGTCCCCGGGGGGCACTTGACCACCGTGTCCCCATCCCAAAACGAGTGCAAACAGAGCGTGGCTGAGCCAGGGAGAGGGACCCACGGGCGGCAACGCCTCTGAAGGGCTCTTCAGCCCAGTAGGTCCCGGCTCAGGCAGGGGAGGGTATTTCTGGGGTTCCCCCCGCCCCGGGGTGGGCTGTTCAGCACGAGAAGCGTTAAGAGCAGCCGGAGCCGTTCAGGCTCCCCCCATCCATCCCAGCCATCGCTCCCGTCTCCCCGCCGGCCCGGCAGCGGCCT